GTCAAAATTACAGTTGTGTTTGATATACCTTATTCACTTAAGTCTCAGTACTTCATGTGTCTTCTATCACAACAGTCAATAGGGACCTTACGCAATCAGGACGGCAACGCCAAGGAAGCCTTCGATTAAAAAATGAATTTCTACTCTTAGTTAGAATTTCAAAAATGGTTGCAGGAGCTTACTGTCTTATACAGTGCCACAGCTCAACTTCAGCATGACGTATAAAAGTAGCGTTGAGTTCCAAATGAAAATTAAAATAATTTGCCGTCGCGTTTTCGGTTCGCAGACGATGCAAATTTTGGCGATTTCACGTTGTTGTTTTGCATAGGACGGCTAAGAAATGCACAAAGTTTCAAAATGCACGTGCTGAGCTATTGTTCTGCCAATTAGATTTCTTGTTTTTCCACGTCCTCGTTGCCGTCGCCGTCGTGGTTGCGTAAGGTCCCTAATATTCCATGACAGTTCTGAAGGAACAGTCAGCGGTGAGTTTTAAGCCTCAGAGCATTGGGTATCTGACATCACAAGTGCAGTTCTGACTGATCAGTTGGCAATCTCTTTTAACCACTGACTCCCTGAAGTGATTGACATGTAATTTCTCCCTAACCTAATTTCTCCAAACTTATCAGGGAGAAGTTATTTTCTTGATCTAACAACAAATTCTTGCAACTAATTTACAAGGAAATGTCTAGCAGCTAGCAGGTTTATAGTCACAACTATTCTTAGTTACCATACATTTCCAATGGCATCTATTTGGTCACATGACTAAATGCTGCCAAAAATAGTTCTGAGCCTTGGGCCCCCGACAAAGATATTGACCTCTTATCTTTACTGTCACTTGATATGACAAAGTAGGGCACACCAGATATCTTCATTTGAGATTTTGCATATGAATCTTGAGACAAAACCAAATCTATGTCAGAGGAGGATTTGAGATAGTCCTCAGCACCTTCCAAGCCCAGCTCTTTAGCAGCTTCAATCAGTGTACCAATGTCACTAACATTTTTGCCATCTTCGTAAATCATACGCAATAGGAGATCTTTAGCTTTGCCTTGTCCTTCGGGTCCTTTCTGCAACCCAGCCAGGTGAATGAGGCGGTGACCATGTAAAGAGTTAGGCCATGTCTTCCAGTTTTTGAATTCTAATCCATCTTGTTGTCCTGCCCTTCTGAGTGATCGTGTCCATCCATCACCACCCCACCTACATTGAATCAGTCAGTCAGTCAATCATTTAGATAAGTGGGTGAGCGAGAGAGAGAGAGAGAGAGAGAGAGAGAGAGAGAACCAGTTAGTCAGTCAATCCCTCTAATATCAACCAGTTGCTAGACACTTATCTAGCTAATCATTCTAAGCAGCACTGTGGTCTTTCCTTACATTTAGGTGGCTCATAAAGCCGCAAAACTCTTAAACAAAAGTTTATCTTTCAAATCAGCGCTCTTAACCCCATTCTACTAATTTATTCGTGTTTTTCTTGTCTACATGTTCCTTCCAATAGGATAGCTCCCCTTTCTGCATATAAACCCAAACACAACCCATAATTCTTCCATTCACTCTAACGAATATACTAACACTTGAAACTGCAGCTTTTTAACTCTTTCTGGCGGCGAATTTACAATTTCAACTTAGTTGATATAACCAAATTACCTTGTTACCTCCACTGACACGGAACCATAGTTTCTTTAGAAACTTATCCCCCTTTATCCATCCCTTTATCATTCAATAAGCTGAATTATCATATGACCTGTCCGGCCCTACTCCTGCAATCCCTTAAAGAAAACCATTGTGCAAGGCTGGATGGGTTAACCAGCCCATGCTGACATGAGCTAGTTAAAAAAAAAAAAAAACAGTCCAGCCCTGCTGCCCTCATGTTGCTTTGTTACAAAAACTTAAAAAAAAAAGAAATGAGAAAAAAAATTTGTGTTTTTCAAGGAATTGCAAGTTTCTTGTTCTGACTAAAAAAAAAAATAAAGGACAAGTTATAATTCCAGAATTTATTTGTGCTTGTGCAGCTGCGTGTGCCCTTCTATCATGTCCCATTTAGATTGAAATTTTCAACACTTATTGGTCACGTGATTAAATGCTTATTGACTGAGTTTGATTGCACAGGAAAAGAAAATATTTGTCTCTCAGTCATGAGGTACAGACCTCACTGCCCTTGGTCTATATGTCAAGACCTCAAGGCAAATATTTTCCTGTCCAGCCCCATCAAAGTCAGTCAGTAAGTATTATTACACGACTCGGGCAGTCAGAGGGGCAATAACTAAAATCAACCAATCAAAATGCTCTATCGCCAGTCCAATATTCTCTAAGTATTGGACCGGGCACTGTCCCGAATGGTCTTGAATGATACCGCACTTGTGTCACTTTGAACTTCAGTCGTATAATAAATCTCTTATTAATCAAGCTTGCTCGGGACCGTACTGGAAGAATATCGGCCCTCGGTCTTTTTTGTACAGACCGAGCTGCGCTCGGTCCGTTCTGTCAAGACCTCGGGCCTATATTCTCCCAGTGCGGCCCTCGCGCTTGCTTAATAAGATATATGTCAGTTTAAACTACAGTCCCCTGGCTCTTTGAACTTTGTTGGTGCTGGGGACGACTGAATAACACGGGAAAATAAGTAGAAAGGTACAATGAGACATAAACTCACCAAATACTGAGGAAATCTAGGAAAAACAACACGCTTACACGGAAAGGGTTTAAACAGAACCCAAATAAACTGAATATGGCAGTTTGGGAACGGTGTATTTACCTGAAATGCGAGAATAATGGTGATTAAATGAATAAATGAAAGCGAGAAAACAATACGCGTAAATTGATAAGTCTCAAAAGCATACGAAATGTGAAAGAAAATCGAGAAATTACCAATTCGCCTCACCACATGTGTATACTCCCAAAATCCTCCCCTCCTTGTTATAAGTTGAAACCAGCTATAATGATGCACTGACGGTA